GCCGTCGACTACGTTTGGGCGCCTTCCTTCGCTGAAGTTTCTTCGCGGTCAACTTTACGCCTTTATGCGTGTCTAGTGACGATATGATATAGTGCCTCGAACCGAACAAAATTTAGCAGGACAACTTAGAAGTCTATAATACACATCTAAACCGAATTTCATGTTGATATCTTTTATATTTAGATTTGTTGTCCATAGTACAATGTGCGCTTCAGTTAAAGCAGAAATTACTAAATTTTTCGTATGTTTTAAAACCGTTTTTGCTTCCGTCCGGCCCAATTTCCGGTTCTGTAGAAAGCATTTTCGGTTTAATTGGATTGGTTTTTCAGTTCTTTGGACTAATTTTTGGGTTTTTCTGAGAAAATTTTTTGGTTCTTCTAAACCGGTTTTTGGATCTCTTGGAATCGCGCTTCGGCTCTTTTGGAACTAAGTTTTTGATCTCTGGGAAGCGTTCTACGGTTCTTCTGTAACCTTTTTTCTGTTTTTTTTTTTAAAAGCAAGTTTTGGTTCCTTTAGACCCCTTTGTAGGTGGGATATGAGGAATATAACAAATCTACACAAAACATGCAATAAAATACGAAAGCAATTGTTCTACTCACCACAATGGGTAGCAAAAGTTCATGCGTCTCATTGCCTCGCCACATATGCGAATCGCTCGGCACGTTTTGTAGCTCACATTCGAGTGAGTTGATTTTCTCTTGCAAAGGACTAAGTATGCGTGGCCGGCCAATTGGCTTTGAGGGGAATTTAGTGAGATTTGTGGTGCTGCTGGGGGTAGTGGTGTGGTGCGATGAGGAAAATATTGTGCCGGCGATGGTGGTGGTGCTGCTGATGGCAGCAGTGGTGCCATGCGGTTGGCTTAAATGCGCCAATGCCTGCTTCTTCTTTTTCGGATGCAGCTGTGGATATGGGTAAATAAGCGGCGAAGGAGTTGTTGGGTCATCTAAGGCTAATTTTGAAGTCACTACTCTTGCAAGCTCGCTGTTTGTGCTCACTGTTGTAGCAAGTGGTATTTTAGTTGTTGTTGTTGTGGTTGTCGTTGTTGCTGTTGTAGGTGTCAGTTTAGTACGCTTTACATGCACAATGCCAGCACCAACGAAATTAACCCATTTTGCTTGAGTTGGCCTCACTTGCTCTTCCGTAATTGTGCTGCTACTGCTGCTGCTGTCAATATTGCCAACAGCTGCACTCGAAGCAACGGCTGTTAGTGTGAGTGTGGGCGTGGTTGTGTGCGTGTGCGTGTACGTGACGACAACATTGCTTTTACGACGTTGCGACATAATGTCAAAAGTTTTGCCACTTGCAACCAAATCAACTTTGCCCGCAGCAGTGATGTCAAGCGCGCTAAACTTCTTTGCTGTCGCGCTGCCACTTACATGACTACTGGATGATGGCGCATGCAAGTTGAGTTGACTGCCATTTCGGTTGTTTGTTGTCGTTCTACTTGTGCTAGCTTGTTGTGGTGGTGATGGTGGTGATGTGGCTGCTGTGAGCATATTTGTGATCGACTTGTTCACACCCCTTGTGCCATTGGCGTTTGTCGACGGCAACAGCATCGACTTGAGCAGCAATTTAGCGCGTTGCAATTCTTTTTGGTACTTCTTAGTTGGCTTGTCGACGTCGGATTGTAGTGACGGGAAGCGCTCTGCACTGGCGGTACTTGCTGCTGCATCAAACAGCTGCGATGGCTTGCCAAGTAATGCATTTTGCTGCTGCTGCTGATGCTGTACACGCTGACGCTGTGGTTGCCCTAGCTCCGCCTTTTCCACGCTTTGTGCTGTCTGTTTGATGCCACTTTTTGTTGCTTCACTTGCATCGCCTTCTTTATCCTCGCTTGTGCCACCACTACCGCCGTTAGCATCGCCACGCTGCGAATTCATGTTCACTACTTCCCCCATAATTGGTTTGCTTGGCTCTGCGACTTGCGCATTCTGTAAAGTTTCCAACTTTGTGTTTTGGTGCAGTGCAAATCTGCTTGCCGCCGTGTTGTTAGTAGTCCGTGTTGTTGCTGCGCTGTGTGTGATTGTCGGTTGTTGTGGTGGCGTTCCTGCTGCGCCTGCCATTGCCTGCTCCATCTTGGCTTTCGCCTTCAGTCGCTTGCGATTGTGTTGCATCATTTCGTTGTAGAGCTCTTTGCTGTTGTAGAATTTTGTTGTCGAAAATTCCGGATGTGCGCCAAGTGCAGCTCGCATTGCGCCACCGCCACCACTCTCAGTGCCACTATTTGTGTCGGCTTCGCCTTGTGCTTGTGTAGCACCGCCGCCGCCACCTGTATTGAACTTTGTATTGGCAAAATCGACATGTGGCATTGTGAGTGTATCACTGGCGCTAGCGCTGGCTGCGCGATGCATAGGAAAGTCAAAACTTTTCTTCACGCGCCGCTCAATGAAATCGTGTTGCGGCGGCAAACGTTGCGAGTTGTTGCTGCTACGCTTTTTGTCCTCGTTATTCTTATTGCTTGCGTATTTATTTTTAATACTTTGGGGCGGTTGAATTTTGTGGTTCACACTATAGCTCGATTTTGCGTTTGTCAGCTGTCCCACACTGCCTGGTGCTGTGGTGTTGCTAGTCGCGACTGCACTTTCTTTACTCTCAGGCCCAGCTGCTGTGCCTTCAATTGCCACAGCTGTTGCAGCTCCCGTTGCCAGCCCCGTCACCGCCACTACCGCCGGCGCAAACTCATTCAAGCGAAACTTTTGCTCGATTTCCGTAATGACACCATCCTGTTCGGCCAGGACTTTTCCGGTGAAATCAGTAATATCATCTGGCTGCCTCGGTGGCGCTGTCCCTGCCCTGTCCGTCCCTGCTCCCTCTTTACTTTTCTCCTCTACGCTTTTTGTCAACATGATTGGCCTACGATTGACGCTCCGATGCGCGGCCAGACTATTGATGTTATCGTAACGCTGTACTATGTTGTCGACTGTATCCACTTCATTTGGCAATAAATTCTGTTGCTGTCGCTGGGTGATTTGCCCACCATCCGCTGGTAAATATACTACTTTTTCCTCTACCGCGTGCGCCTTCGCATTTCCATACCACTCCACAGCTGTTGGCTCTACTTGCGGCCCCTGCTCGTTGTCGTCGCCCTTCTCCACAGCTTTATACACTGTGCGCTCCTTTAATAACTTCGCATTGGAGTCACGTATAATTGGATTGAAATCCTCCATTTTCATCGGATATACATCAACTATATTGAGAGCGGGTGGTGTAGCATGTGGCGCTTGCAATGGACCACCCACCGTGAATGCCGGCGTTGTGTACTTGGTGTGGTCACTCTGTTGCTGTTGCTCTTCTTGTTCTTTATTGTTTTTTATCTGCTTGTTGCTCATGCTTTTGCCACTGCTATTTCTGCTTCTTCTACCCAGCCTATCCAGCTGGCTTGCGGTGTGTTCATTGTCCTGCTGCACCTGCCGGTTTTCCATACCATTGTTCGCTTGCTGCTCGCGGCGTAATTGGATTCGTTGCTGTTGTTGTTTTTGCTGTTGTGCAGGCTTCTGCTCACTCCTCTGCTGTTCGCTATTATGTTCATCCAATGTTGACAGCTTTTCCGCGCTGGTTTGTTGTTCAAGTTGGCCTAGGTCCGCTGCGCGCTCACCTTCCACTTGCATGTTTGGTATTATATCGGTGGCTGTTATTTCTGGATCTCCATTGTCCGCGCCCAGCTGCCGCACCCCACTTTGCTGCTGCTCCGCACTACGTCCGTTGTACTCGTCAGTTACAATTTCAGCCAATTTAATGCGGTATAGGCCATTCTTTAGCTTCTGCTGCTCGGTATTCATGCCGTTCATGGCTTGTTGTGCGCCTGCTGCATGCTCGCTGGTTGTTCGCTGTGTAGTTTGTGACTTTGTGACAATTGCTTTTGTTGTACCGGGTTCGTAAAGCTCTTCCTCCTGCCGATTTGAGCTCGCCTCCACTTCTGGCCAACCTGCTTTTTGTGCTTCATCGAGTGGTTTATTCGCTCGAACTGCTTCACTATTTTGCTTTATTTCCATTTGGTTTTGTGTAACTTCCTCCCTCCTACTGTCGTCAATAATCCCGCCTGCTTGCTGATCGATTTCCCTCCGAACTCCACGCCCACCATCAGCAACATTAGTTTCTGTTACAGTTTTCTCCTCCCCCTTTGCAAGCCTCACGCTCCGCTCGTTCGAGCTTTTTGTGCTCTGTTCGTTTACAATTTTGATGATTTGCCTTTCTGCCTCATTTCCGTCCTGCTGCGGAACGAACTCTCCTGCTCCTGCGCCACTGCCCGCAGCACTTTTGCCTGACGCAAGTGTATTCGCATGTGATTTACTTTCAAAATTCACAGTTAGTACTTCCGTAATTTTCGTTGCTGGCTCGCCTGCTATTGCACTAGTAGTTGCTGTGTGGGCGTGCGTGCCCGACCGCACCATTGCTGCTGCATTAATTTTGGTTGTCATTGATGTTGCTTTTGCTGTTGGCTCTTCCTGCCCACCATTATTTTCGCTAAAAGGAAACCCCTCCTTTTTTACTGCGATTTCCTTATCCTTTTGCGTTTGTGTAGCTTTATGTTGTTGTTGTTGTTGTCGCTTTGCTTGCTCATACATTGCTGTTAGCGTCACCACTGCAACTCCTGCTGGTGTTTCTGGTATTGCGGTGCTCAAAACCCGTTCGTCCGCATCGTTTGTTGCCGTTAATGTTGTAGGCGCATTTGAGGATGCTAATGTCACGGTTATAGCTGCTGTCGCTGTTGTGGTAGCTGTTAGTGTTTGTGTTGCCGCCGCCACTGTTTTTGCTTCAGTGCTTTGACTCGCTGCCATGGTCGCCCGCGCCACAGCTTCTACCGTCGCACCCACTATCGTCGTCCTTGGAGTCGTCGTTGCGCCAGTCGCTTGCTGTTGTCCTGATTCGGCGAAACCATTTGCGTCAGCAAACACCAACAACACTGGCGCTATTACAAATGCCAATATGTAGAATTTTTGCATTTTTGCGAATATTTCCGCCGAATTTCGGTTGTGTTGCTAAAGTTTTTTTTTTTAATTTTTTTTTCTAGTTGCTGCTGCTTCAGCTGCGTGTTTTTGCTATTTCAGCACTTCCTGTTTTCTCACACTTCCTGTTGTTCCGCTGTCCGCCGACTAGTTGGCGCTCTGCTGCACCTCACTTCGTTCTAATTTCCACCTCTCTCACCCGGCGCACTGAACCACTCTCTCTTTATCTCTCTCACTCTGGTTGATTTACTTCCGTTACTGGTTATGCCCCACTGTTTTAGTGCCCAACAAATGCAATGACGTTTTCGTTTCGTTTTCCTTTGCTTCAGCAGATTTTAAAGCACTTGTTGTTGCGATTGTATTGTTGTTGTTTTCGTTTTAAATACTGCATTTGTTACCTGTGCTTGTGAACCATTCCTTTTTACCATTAAGTTTTCGCATGAGATTGTTTTATGGGTGCTCTTTATATCACCTGAAAGGGAAAGAAAAAAGCAGTAATAAATTATTGCCAAGTCAAGTAATTGCATTGTACTTTTAACATTTACGTAACTTGTTTGTGTGTTTATGCCTGCACTTATGTTGCAATTTATTGATTTTCGTGCTGCCAACCGTAAAGGTAAACAAATACGAAGAGACTTCTAGCTTGCAAGAAGTGGTTTCTAGAAAGTTTTCTATAACTTTCAAAAAAGTTCTTTGGCGATAATGGTATGAATCCAATTTCGAGTAAAAATAAATTTTTGAGAACCCATAAAATTGTTGTTGTTGTGGAACGAACAAATTGAAAATACTCGCAATACTTTTAGAAAAACCTTCAACCAGGCTACTCTATCTGGTAGTGAGGTACACTAGACGACAAATGAAAGTGCACACCTTGTTCTAATATTATATGTATACCCAATTACTTTCATGAAAATTTGTTTTGAATTAATTATTTATGAATATACTAGCAATTACCCGGCGTGCTTCGCTGCTCCTTAAATGTATTTTTGTGTTGTAACTCTCCCCCTAAGCTCTTATGGCCTCATTTACAAAATATTTTTAAAGAACTTTATGAAGTTAGATTTAAAAAAAAAATCGATCTATGAAGCATTGTTTATTTATTTTTTTTTGAGTTAATATATTTTCGAAGGTAATTAGAAAATATGTAAAGAACCGACTTTCTCTTGGAAATTTAATTTATAATCTTATAACTGGAGTCTACTATCGCACCCTTTCCTCAAACGTGTATTGATTCAATATTCAAATAACGTATATTTATATAATTTGAAAAAATCTCCCTACTATACAAATATGTACAGCAATATTAACTAATATTTTCAAATATTGTGAGAGGGAGTAACAAAACAAAATTACTTTTAAGGCGCAGCGAAGCACGCCGGGTATTCGCTAGTGTCACATGAAATTAACTGAGCAAAGTACAATGAATAGCTGTTAAACAATGTTTCACGCACCGACACCATCTACTTTAAATGAAACATACTTATTTTCGTGAGGGATACTCACACACCATATACTTTTCTATTGAAATTTTTCCTGAATTTTCTTAGCTATAAACCTCCAACGAATGCAAAACCGTGGAAATCGGTTCGTGCGTTCTGGAGTTATAGCGTCAGGAAGGAAACCCTACTTATTTTTATATTAATTTTTATATTAAAGAAGATTAAAGAACTGTCCGCATTACACAATTTTATTTTTCACAAAAACGGTATTCATGAATTTTTTAATTTTTTTTTATTTGCTTCCGCATATTTTTGACATAACAGCTTTCATTTTATGCCCATATTAAACAAATACAGCCTAAGTTTGCCCGGGTCCACGTTTTGGTCTGTATCTCGAGACCCTAGTCACCCAGCTATATGAAAAGTGCTCAATCTTAAAGCATTCATGAACAGCTTTCATTTGATACCCACATTGAACAAATACACCCAAGGTTACCCAGGTCCACGTTTTGGTCTATATCT